ATATTTACAAATTATGAACACAGCAATTGGCATATTTTTAGATTTGAAATTCCTAAAATGACCCTGACCATGCTGGAAATTTTTTAAAAATTCATCGGAAAACAGCACATAACTAAATGTATTTAACCCAGATTTAATACATATAATAAACTTAATAGTTTAGATTACATTGAGGGCGCCCTTGTGAAATCAGCTGCCGTCGTGGGTTCTGTTTCATGTTTTCGCTTTCTTTTAATCAAATATTCACTGGACGATAATGGTACACCCATAATACACCCTTTATCTCGGGTTTAGTGTTTTTATTGTCAGGTTTAGTGTTTTTCGACAGGTTTAGTGTTTTCCGGGGTTTCCACTCAACGAAAAATTTACGACAATATTCTGTTGCGTGCTAGCTTTTATTGTGAGCTGTTATTGCTTGTCAACTTCATGTGGGCTACCTGTCATGGCGACATCACCGAGCAGTAGTGTTTTGAACAAGAATCAGGAGGATTTCTTGACGTGTAGTCTTTGCCTTGATTATTACACGAATGCTAAGACGTTACCCTGCCTGCATTTTTACTGTGAAAAATGTTTGCTGACATTGGTGGAGAAACGAGGCGAGTTGGTTTGCCCACAGTGTCGCTCTGTTGTGCCACTCACGGGGTCATCTACAGAAGTTGTGGCAGACCTGAGTACAAACTGTTTTATTAACGAAGTTGTCAAGGTTTTCAAAACTTCTTATCCAGACGAGTGTGAGGCAAAGATTTCCCCCGCACCGTGTGTATGTGAAGAAAACTCGTGCGTCAACCGATGTCTCGATTGCTCAATGAACTTATGTCACACATGTAGTAAATCTCACGCGAAGGTTCGGTTTACTGAAGGTCATCGGTTGATTTCGGTATCAGGGTACAGAAAAGACGCTGGCGGACAAAGCAAGCCGCTCAATCAGGGTATCTACTGCAACAAAGAAGGTCACAAAGAACGGTGTGTGCAGACGTACTGTTCTACTTGTAGGTTTGTTCCTGTATGCGATGATTGTGCAACTAGTTCCCATACAGGACATAAGTTGGTATGTCGTGAAGACTTTGCCAAATCGTTCATTGACAAATTGCGACAACCATTGGAAATCCTCGAAGAAAAACGCGACGAGTCGAATCAGTCTGTTCAGTCGCTAACTGAGGAACTGCTGACTATTACCGAGCTGTATGAAGCTGAATCGGCTAAGGTCAAGAGGCAAGCGGAAGTAATGATTGCAAAGATACGGGAAAATGAAGGCAAACTGTTAGAGATGTTGAAAAAGCAACACGACCAAGCCACAAAGCGCCTTGAATGTGAACTTGATCGATATGAGATTTCCGAAAAGAATATCGCAGCCACGTGTAATTTTGTCGATATGCTAATGAAATTTGGAGAAGCAGACGAGATTATTTTAGAATGTCCAAAATTGTTGAGTCGAGTTGATGAATTGATTGACTGTGATACAAAACACAGTCGAAAAGACGTATTTCCCGCAAAATTTCAACCAAGTAAAGAAAATTATAATTTCAACAATGTAGGTACTATTAAAAGAGTTGTCAGTTGTGAACGAAGTGAAATTCCAAAGATGGTATTAGTTAACGAAAGCTTCACTGTTACCATAACAACAAAAGACTGTGAAAGTGTGATGGAAATCTTGTAGTTCCGTTTATTGGAGAAGAAGTGGCAGCTAACCTGGGTAATCCTGATTTTACTACAACTGCATTGAATGTGGTCGCTGATGGCAATGGATCTCATACCTTGAAGGTTCCAGGACAGAAGGACGGAAAGTACAATCTGAACATATATACTGGTGACACACACGTACCAGGTTCTCCCTTCAACTTTCAAGTTGTATCTGGTGAGTTTACATATAACACCATATATATTTAAAGGGCGGTGGTTGTCGCACATGTGCGACATTTGAGTTGATAAACATTAAGTTTCCCACAATCCAATGCGCTCTTCTGATGGAAATCACAATTATGAAGTTTTACATGGGTGCGACTAATCACCTAAAATATACCTATTTAAAGCTTGATAACGTCTCAGTTTGTACTTGTTGATCTGCACAACAGTCAAAGTCGCCATCTTTGTTTATATATTTCGGCCATGCGTGGCGCGATGACTACCGCCCTTTACTGTTAATTTTCTTATTGCTTATTATTGCTTACAACATGTGTTTGATTATCTATATGATTATTACATTATCAATCTGATTAAAATCAATTTACAACTTACATTAATCTTTTATTTATTTTTTTGGCAGGGTTTTACTTGTTGTTTATTGTAAAAAAAAAATAACAATATATAAAATATGGAAATAAAAAATGGAGCCTTTACATTAAAGTGACAGGGTCGTCATCTGCGCATGTGCATGGATTGAGTTCTAAGCGACTATAACAACACACACTAAAACACAAAGGCTCATGGGTAGACGCTTGTTTGTAATCAATGACACGTTATTGAAAGCCTGGCTACTCCTCCGCTTTAATATGTATATATATAACTTGTACTGAATAACACTGTAAAAGTAAAAATGTATACTTCTTAGAATTCATTTTTTTTTTTATTTTGTGAGAATTTCAGAGTTTTTATAGTTGACAATACCTCTCATAATATATTGCCTGGTCTCATAACGCAATGAAAAACCTGATAAGTTACTCTGTGCTATAATATGACAGAACCCCACACCCTCCCCATGGCTTTCGTTGCACATGGAAGTTATTTTCACGAGTGATGCGGTGTATCCTGCGGCCGTATTTTCACGAGCTTGTACAGCAGAATACAACGCATCTCGAGTTATTCCCTGCCAACAGGAAAATGTTGCAGTGTTTTATTATTATTAACTGTAATATTTCAGGCAGTGTTGTGGATATGACTAACAAAACAAAACAAAATGCATATTTCATTGATTTTGCACGCAATTTTTGTGTTTCGGTGATGTACTTCGAAAATACTAAATACAGTATTCTTTATTTGTGCTCGATGCCTCGTATACCCTCAGCACAAAAGATTTTTTTCTGGCTGGCCACTACTTTAGTGTATTTGTAAATTTTTTTAATTTTAATTTTAAATTGCATGAAATGTCATACAGGCCTGGGATGTATGAACACAAATCTAGGATTATTATGAACATTATTGTTGTCTTGTCTTGATTACAATATATCTGCTGATTTCGAATTTTGTAAATTACAGATGGCAGTCAATCTGAAGCCCAATTGCAACTGATAATCCCCAACTTCAGCAGCATGACTGAAGACATGTATAGTCCCATTGTCATGGCTAAGAATGTGTTATGGTGAGAATATATATGTTTTATTAGTCCTCATGGGTTACAGATGTGCTGAAACTGGGGCTTATAACTTGGGTTCCATGTATGTGCATCTGTTCGTCTGTGCGTCAGTCCTCGGCCATAACTTGAACATGTATAAACCAATTTCAGTCAAACTTGGCGCACATGTGATGTAATAAGTAATATACAGGTACTTTTTTTTGCTTAAAAAAAATGCTAAAAATGTATGTCACGTTGTAACTTTAAAAGCTTTGACTGATTCTCAAAATCTGCTACAAAGGTGTAGCACTAAAATGTACATCAATGTTGTGTTCCGATCTTTGTATGTATCTTTGTATGTGTTTTTTTGGTCAAAAAATAGGATGAAAATGATGTTCTTGCCTGTTATAGGGAATGCATTGACCAATTCCGTTCAAACTTCTTATATTAGTAATACACAATACATCAAATACAATTTCAAAATTAAAAGGGTCTCTTTGGGACAAAATGTTTTTGCCTGTTCTTGGCCATGTATTGATCAGTTTCATTCAAACTTCACATATAAGTAAAACAAAATACAATACATATACAGTTTATTGATAGACTCAATATCTACTCAAAATTTATTAAATTTCTTTTTGATTCAAAAAATAGGGTAAAAAATTGAACATTTTGACCTAAACCATAATTAACATTGCATCTGTATGCTTCAATGATACAACTCCATGTCTATGAGATGGCTGACTGGTAGCCATCTTGTTTTTTTTTTAAATGTAGTATCTTCAACATGCTTTGTCAGTTTTTGATCAAATTTATACATTATGCTTGTTGAGATACATGTTTGTGATGATTCGTTTTGCGATTGAATCCAAAATGGACAACTGGCAGCCATCTTGTTTTTTTGAAAATGCATCGTTGACATGTTTTTTTTCTTCAAATTATACATGTTATCATAATACAAGCCAATGTTTAATTGTAGGAATATCTTCCAAAAGTTGTATTAAATGGCATACTCTCATGTCCCAAATAAACATACCCCCAGGAATAAACATACCCCCCGGAGAATTTCCAAAATGACTGATAAATTGTTCCATTGCTTCTAAAATGTGCTCATACTGGTGTATATGCAAACTTTTCACAGTCCTTGAAATAAGGAATATAAATGGACAACAAATGTTGCATTTCTAGCAATATACTCCAAGTCTTTGTTTGCCTGGCCGCAAGATGTAATCAAATAGCAAACCAATCTCTACCCGAGTCAGCCTGGCTGGGAGACTTTCCAGCCAATCAGTCGTGGTACAATGGTGAAGTATTGCAAAACGCTGGAGGATGCCAAAGTGTTCGAATTATCATAGCTCATTTAAATATGGTAATGACAGTTCAACGACTTCATGGTGAATGCATCATGGAAGAGATTTACCGATTTTTTTTAGTGCGATCTTTTGTATTTGATTTCGACGGGAAAATAGCATGATTTTTTTTTTAAATCAAGAATTTTATTTAATCAAATTGAATTAATGAATGGCAAAATTACCTCCTGGAATGTATATATAATAACTTGTACAACTGATAACAATTATGGGTGTGAGTAAACATGTATATTCTAACAGATACAATGTATGTTATTCACTTGGTACAAGTTCATGTTTGAATTATTCTGCATTCTAATTAAATTGTAAAGTAATTTCCCGCCTTGAAAACATTGTTAGAAAGAGTGTCATCGGCTAACACCTAACAAATATACTAGCACACGCTTACAATACTGGAGACATGCACTTTGCTTGAGTTTGTGCACATAAATAAAAAATATAAGAAATACCAAATAGAAGTATAGAAGTATATAAAGTTTGTGACCATATATTAGATTGCAAATTTAATAGACGCTTTAATAAATCTGATTTTTGTTGATTTTTTTTACTCACTCTAAATTACTGACCATACACTACAAATCCATTCAGAAACAATTTACCTGGTCACATGACCAGTGATTTGCATATCAAATGTGATTGCTAATGTTAGAACTGAACTGAACATAATACATAAATATAATAAATATAAACATTCAGTGACGTGATTCTATTTCCATCCCATGCTATATTCCTTCTGCGACCAATTTTAACAAAGGAATATGTAAAATGTGCGCGACATTTGAGGACAAATTTTGCCCTGTGTACTATTTACAATAATTAACGCTGGTGACTTCTTCGATACCTTCTTCGATCACCAAACAAAACACCCCAAAAAAGCTCAGTAACCTCTCAGTTTGTACTCATTGATAGAAAGTGGTGTTCCCACAATCCAATATGCTCTCCCAATGGCAAGCAAAACCACAAGTTGTGATCTGTACACGATGTGCAGTGAATGAATACATTGACTCATTGGAATATTCATTGATGCGTTCCAATCATCACAGGAATTTCCCAATTAAACCTTTGTAATGTCTTTTGTGTGTATTCGTTGATGGGCACAATATTCAAAGTTTATATGAGACCCATATCTCGTGTATGCAAGGCGCGATGACCACTGCCCTTTAAATATGTAAATGTTGGTGATTCAACAGTTTACCACATATAAAAAAAAAATTAAACGTTCCAATTAGTGCTGTTACATTTTGGAAAGTGTACTTATACGCTTTTTACGCAACACTAACTTCCATTTTTGGTAAAATAATGTTAGATACTGTCGGTTCAACAAAGGTATTCCCTTCATCTTTATAAATATTTATGAATTTCACAATTCAAACTGAAACAAGGGTTTTCTATTGACTGATTGAATAACATTGGAACGTTTTCAAATGACGTTGTGCACTGTGCTAGTTGATTGGCTGGTTGGATTCAACTGCCTTTGGAATTTATAAATATTTATAAAGATGAAGAGTATAAGTGCAAGTTACTTATAGACCATACTCAAACTATTGGAAGTCCCGACAAAAAGCAGTGTTTATGTAACTGATTCATACATTTTAATATCGATTAATTTTACAGGACATTTTTGTGTAGGAAGATACAACCTACAGAAGAAGACTAAGAAGACGAAGAAAGTTTGGGCATATATTTATCTGTAGCTGATAAGCTTACATTTAAGTAAGTATTCTATGTAACAATAAATATTTGACAGAGATTAGTGTAATAACACTGCAATGTCACGTAAAACAAGTACGGCAGTCTACAAACATGTAGCGGGAGTTGATGCAATTTTGTAATGCCTTTATTATTGTACATCATTTCTCTGCATGTAGTAATAGCTTAATGAGTTAACGGCAAAAAATTACAACAAGAAGTGTGTATCCAATATAAGGAGGGAAAATGCAGTTGCGGCACATTCTATTGTTTTAGTTCTAGATGTATGACAATGTGACATATTCATATATCATTATATGAATATATTAT